TGAGCAAAAATCAATGGGGAAACAGCGGATTCTCGGAATTCACAAGAATCCATGGGAGTCTACGGGAATCCATATTGGATTCCGGATGACCCTGAGTTCGGGAATCTGCCGTTTTCCCTTGGTAAAAATACACTTTTGTGTTTTGAAATGGACGAGAATTCATCTGATAGTATTTTATTCAGTTTGAAAAATCGAAGATATTTAAATATCATATCTGCTTTTGTGAGCTGAGAGGGTATTGCTAAGGATGTAAAGATAGAATACACATACAAACCTTTATATGTTCGAATAAATTGCAAAAATTCTATACGCAAGCATTGCCCTATTTTGTATTTTTGATCAGCACACGTAATAGCCAATCCAATACCATATGCAAACCGAAACCCACCGATGGCGGCGTTCGTCGAGATACCTAAGAACCAAACTGGCACAACTGGAAATCCGCAAAATCGGCGAAAAACGAACAAGGCAGCAATAGCCATCATTATCATGTTTGTCCTATTAACAGTGCTACCGATCGCCACGCTGATTGTCGGACAGCTTTATAAGATCGACTGTCCAATTCAAGCATGGATTCCGCGATGGATGATTATCTTTGGCGCCGTCGGCCTAGCCGGTTTTAGCTTACTGATCTTCATAGTGAGAGTTCAGTTTTTTTATCAGAGCGATTAGAATACACAAAAGAGGTGTAAAGTCGATTTATACATCAGGAGTACACTGGTATAGTGTAACGGCAAGCTAGTAGTGGACTGACAGTCTCACTCCGTACGTATTAAGCTTAATCATCAACATAAATACGTTTATCTACTTACTATACTTTCATCCCTTTCAACTTTTTCTACTTTTCATATTATTCATCCCTTCATACTTTTCATCTGCTTTTCACACTTTTCATCGCTTTCATACATTTCATCTGTTTCAATCTTTTCTACTTTTCATCACTTTCATACTTTTCATCGTTTTCATATTAGGGATGTTACAAATAGAGTGAATGAATGAATGACTATGTTTCAACGTACTTCATCTTTTTGCTTGGTCAACTATTGAATTTATTAAATTTTTAGGAACCATAATTTAGGTACAAAATAATCACTTGCTCAAACTTCATTAAACTGTTTAATTACCCTATTTATCTAAAATACTCACGTTTAGAATATAGCTTGGGAACTGAGCATTTTCAAGAATGAAAATGAGAGCTATATTCTAAACGTGAGTAGTTTAGATAAATAGGGTAATTAAACAGTTTAATGAAGTTTAAGCAAGTGATTATTTTATACCTAAATTATGGCTCCTAAAAATTTAATGAATTCAATACCTGACTAAGCAGAAAGACGAAGTTCTTTTTGATGTAAGTTTATATTACAGATTTTTTCTGTTATATATATATACTCGGCAGATATATCTAGATATTTCTCTGTTGTCTTTCGCATATGGTAGTCACAGTCATTCACTCATTCACGCTATTTGTAACATCCCTACTGTTCTATAAAGAACGCTTCCTCTTCTTCAGAATGCTAGAGGACTATACTTTTCATCTGTCTTTCACACTTTTCTACTGAAAAGTATGAATTCACGAGTAGATACGAGATACTACGGCATTTGTGTGCGTTGGTGGAATGAGTAGCGATTTTCATCTCGATTAGTTACTATAATCGATCAAATCTTGGAATACTGTTCTACTGAAAGGTATGAAAGCTTTGGAAAGTGAAACAGTATGAAGGATGAAAAGTATGAAACGAATGAAAAGTTCGAAAGCGATAAAAAGTAGAATGGTATGAAAAGATGAAGAAGATGAAAGGGACGAAGAGTAGAAAAAGTTGAAAAGCAGGAACGAGTGGAGAGTAGAAGCGTTAAATAAGGTTAAAATAAAGAAATCGGTCGTTGAAATTTCATCGATGGTGCTGCTGCATCTCTGTAGACAAATCGACTTTACACTTTTTTGGTGTATTCTAACCGCCCTCTTTTTCATGACAAAAAAATTTGCATATTTATCCATAGAGTTTACTGACCGTCATATGTTGCTCCGACGATAATGACAATGGATTAGGTGTTGGTGGCTGTGTTCTATGTTTGTTGCTTTTCTTTTTCCTGGCATGGTTGATAGCGGTAAAGAACAAAGAATTTCTATGGAAATCTTCTTATTAAACGAATGTTTGCTCTTTTAGGGAAGCGTGTGGGTATTTCCCATGAATTCAAAAGTTCAATTCAATCAGTCTAACTTCGAGAACTATTGTCGCGAGAAGCTTTACAAGTTTACATTCGGAACTCTACTTGCACAATACACATTGATCGGGCTTGTCATATGCTTAGGTGGTGTTTTTGCCTTGTGTGCAAAACTGTGTTAAACAGAGTAGAATAATACATAGAACTAGATCATTTACCCTCAAAAGGTTTATGAGAACGGATAAAACGCTTTTTTTCGTTTATGGACCGAAAGGGTTCAATTTATTTTTTCTTAACCATTTCTCAACTGACTATTGGAATCCTTCCAAGATTTGATCGATTATAGTAACTAATCGAGATGAAAATCCCTACCCATTCTACTAACGCGCACAAATGCCGTAGTGTCTCATGTCTATTCGTGAATTCACGAGGAGACCTTCTCAGGTGTAATCATAGTTTTCCAATGAAATCCATTGGAATAGGCAGCCTATCTGGTGGCAGTATATAGCCTAAGAGGATTTCTTACAAAAGCTCTTGGTTAAAAGATTTAGCATTTTTATCGATTTTCCCAGCGGAAAATGGTCAAAAGAAAAATTCAAAACTCAGTCGTACAAAATCGTCCACACTTAAACTTTTTGGAGTAACTAGGTCTATCTAGGTACTCGCTATGCAGAAAATTTCAGAAGGCTAGCGCATTGGCTCCCTGATTTACGAATTTTTTATAATAGCAGCGAAAACTGCATTCGTTGTTTTCAATATCTATCTCGTAACACTTCTCCTATGTGTGACTCTTTTGGTGATGATTTTGTAAATATGTAAATATTTACTTATTTGTTTGCACATAGGATATTATGGTGCATATGTTCAAGGAGTTGTGCCTTGCGAGAAGTCTTAGCGTGTTAGAAAAGTGACAAAGTTTGTTAGTGATCTTATCTGAAAAGCGTATGTTTCTCTCTGCGATAACACGTATGCAGTTTTCGCTGCTGTTATAAAAAATTCGTAAATCAGGGAGCCAATGCGCTAGCCTTCTGAAATTTTCTGCATAGCTAGTAAGTTATATAAATCGTGATTTGTATCAAAATTTAGAAAAGGGACAAAATGATGAAACCCAAAGCTATCTCCAATATTTAATTTAAAAGTACATTATACCCGTGTTTCAAAATGTTTTATTATATATAAATCGATGCAGAATTGCCTGCTCTACAAAACGAAGCTAGACTTATTTCGGGATCGCCATATGCGTGGTTGTGTTTCTAAAAAACACTGAAAAAAATGCGTATTTGAAAATATGAAATGTTTTAACTTTCTATTATCCAATCGTAGGTCAAACATATTATTATGTCTAAATATATGATCTTATAGAGTAAACGTCGCTCTTTCAAATAAGCCATGAATCAGTCATAGGAGTTTCATAGTTTTTGAGAAAGTCAAAAGATTCAACGATTGGTGAAAATTCATAGTTTTTTTATCCGCCGGTGACCCGCAGCAAAATGTTTTGTCTCTAGTCTGTTAACAAAACACTTTCAGAAAGAGTTATTGGTGGGTTAGTAGTCATTTTTTATCCTCTTTCGAATGGCATGTGAATAACTTTAAAAACAGTTTGTCGGCTGATGGCCTCGTAGCACTTAGTTCAATTTGCTGGCGAAGACTCTCTTAGTTTTAGAATAAACTACGAACTTTGAAACTTTAGCTTCACTTGCATTTGACAGACCAGATGAGAATTTTTGAAAGAGAAAAATCCTTTTCTGTATTTTCCTGCACTTTCTCAAAACCACATGATCTTGAAAACTGATTGTGAGTAAAAAGGTACTCTAAGGCACTAAAACGCTAAGGCAAAGGCACTTCGTGTACGCAGAAAGTCTCAATTACATCGAGCCAAGCCCTATCAGGTGTCAAAAGTTTTCAAAACCTAAGGATTAAGATGAGGGTGAGGGTGAGAGTACCCTGCCATTTTCAGTTCCGAAACTCTAAATGTTCTGGAATTCACAGTATACTGAGAGCATGACATTCTGAGGTTCTGGGACTGAAATTCTATTTAGTTTATATCTTCATTGATTATAATAAGGCCAATGGCGAACTATTTTAGGCCATGTATAAGACAGGCTACATTTAAGTAGTAAAGTGTAATAGGTGAAAGATACGGTTGAAATAATATATAAAAGAAAAACAAAAAGTAAAAGAGAAAGTAAAAGAACGTCAAGGAAAAGCCAAAATAACACAGACTAGACGGAGAGACATGGCGTGGACTAATTTAGATTTTATTAAATTTTATTAAACGTTCTATCAGCTAATCATCAAATCTGTTAGTTTATTTAACGTAAAATACAACTACTATTAAAACAATAGCAAGCGAATCCTCGTCTAAATTCAGCTCCTCCAGTAATAGTGTGTCGACTGTAATCGTGGGTAGAAAAAGTAGTTTGTGTTTCAGATTTTGTCTCTCATTGTGATATAAAGTTGGCGTCATCGGTAAAGCGTTCGACTACCTTCGGTTCACATGAATAACCTGAAAGAACGCATTTAAAGCCTTAAAATGTGTCCAAAGAAGAATTTATAGGTTTAAACGGAAAAAATTTCGCTTTTAATACCTGCGAAAGACCTTCGACTATCCAAAATTTCTTCTAGCATATCGTATACGATATGCTAGGTATTACGACGTGTAACCTATTGGCGCTTAATGGTGCCAATAGGATCGTTGCTATGGCCATCAGAATAAGGCAGAAAATCGCATAGATTATGTCCACACCAGAGGAAAGTTAAAATCAAATTATAAAATTTATGCTGTCGTCATATTCATTTAATTTTATGCGCACAGCTAAGTTTTCTCAGCGTTTGGTTCACCGCGGCAAAAGTAACCATTTTGCTAATGTATTTAAATCTTTTTCTAATGTTAATAAATTCAATGCTTTAGCCCCATCCAATTCTTTAACATAACTAAAAACGAAATGAGTTTAGCTGAATCTATCCTTTTCTAGAGATGTGCAGGGCGCCCTTACCCTATCCTACCCTACCCTACAGGATAGGATAGGGCTTCGAAGTCACAGGGTAGGGTAGGGCCAGGGCTTCGTCTAAAAGATATATATCGTCGGTACAATACTGAGGTCGCTAGCTAGCGATAGTTACTTTAAACTCTTTATTTTATTGGATGCAAGACATCCATTTTTGATGCAATTGGCAATATAAAAAGAACAAAGAAATAATAAAAAAATAAAGAAATAATTAGAAATGAAAAATTCTCTAATTTTCAAAGGGTAGGGTAAGGCCAGGGCTTCATTAGTACAGGGCAGGGTAGGGCCCAGACTCAAAAACTTTTCACAGGGTAGGACAAGGGCTCCGTAAACAGTTACCCTGGACATCTCTGTCCTTTTCACACATACCTTTGTAATTTTAATATATATTCTAGTTCACTTTCAGCTGATCGTACATTAGCGTCTTGTAGTAATGCTAGTTGTTGAAATTGTGTTTCGGCAATAATTTCTGCTATAGAAGCTGCTACTTCTTCACTAATTTGTTCGATTCGTTTACGTGAATAGTCTAAAACCGAGCAGATAATATTAAAAAATCAATTAAAGAATAAATCTAGACTTACCATCAATTTGTGAATGGGTTGAACCTAATTTAGCCATCAACTGATTCATTTTCACTGAATTATGCACATGAGCACCATCGGCAACAGTTGCATAAGCTGAAGCAGATTGTCCATCTAATTTAGTTGGATGTTTTTGACTCGTAGTTTGCATAGCTGTCGATATTTTGATTAAGAATAATAATGACAATAAATATAAAATAAGAGACGAGAATCTTACGGCTTTTCACTGATTTAATTTCAACGCTGCTTGGTGCTGTCATACGTTTTCCTGTCTGATGCGGATATTGGTTTGGTTGTGTCGGACTGAAAAAGAACAAACAAAAAAGTAAGTTATTTTTCAGTTATAAAGAAAAATCAACTAACTGACTTCTTTGGCGTGATAATATAAGGCATAGTAACATAAGTCTTTTCTACACTAAAAAAGAAGTTTCATTAGATGATGTAAAAAATGTTTTCTCAGAAATATTATTCTTACGATGTTGATGGAATTCTGAAAGTGAGAAAATAGATTTTCAATTAACTCTGGAAATATTTAAAGTTTTCACTTACTTTGAAATAGAACCTTTTTTATGATCAAACCATTCTTTTATTACTTTTCGTTTCCAATATAGAAGACCAACAGAAATAACGGCAATGACCAACAAT